TTCCAGGCTGGCTGCTTGAATACTGGATGCGGACCGATTCCCGCCTTACTTATCGTGATATCAAAGCACGGATGACGGCTCCACCAGCCGATATTCCTTCTGACAACGCATTGAATATGCGGCGTGAACGCGAAGCCCGCTCGCCTCTTGGTCTTTCATGCTGGACCACGCGCCGGGGAAGCATCACTAAAGCCGAAGTCGAAAGAGTTGAGCGCCTATCTCAGTCTCAGATATCATTTAACACCACTACAACCATTGAGTATGCATCTGGTGCAAATGGCAAAAAAATTCCTCTGCATCTCCTTATGAAACGCCTTGATGGAGGGCCACCTCATCGATATCCACTGGACACCTTCATGGATGGAAAGCAAGGACCTCATTTGCCAGGACAGCGCCTAGAGTCAACCATTCAGCTCCTCTGCCAACTCCAGGATTACGCCAATGCTCTAGGGGAAGACGACTGGCGATCCCTAGCACCAGAATATCTTCCTGAAACTTGGGCCAGAAGAGCGGCGAATCGATTAAGGCGTCAGGCTGAGAAGGCAACTGACAGTGAGGAGAACCTCACCCATGCTACTTCTAGTGGCGATACCGAAACCAAGGTTGACAAGGCTATGGAAAAGAAAGAGTCAGACACAAACTGCGCAAAGGACGAGGTGAAAGAAACAGGAGCAAATGGCTCTGAAGACAAACCCCTTCCAAAAGGTGACTCTCCTGGCGGTCGTAATATCAGTCAGAAACCCTCCATTTCTCCAAACAAAAATGGTCCTTTACCGCAAACCCCTTCTCCGCGTAGTGAGAGTGTTGGTTCGTCAGCGCAATCCCAAAAATCGCGGTATACCAATCCATTTGTCAAAAGCCAGCTAGTTCTATCCTGTGACACCCAGGACCTTCTAGAAGACTGCGACGGCATATGCTGTCGGCCACTTGCTTCCCAGGAATCTCAACCTGCATTATCATCTCACTCTGAACTCGAAGATAGCCCACGGGAAACCCCGGGTGTTGCATCTTTGTCTGATGGCGACTCTGATGACAACCAGAACTCAGACTTGGAACTTCTTTCTGAATTGGGCCTGCACCCGCAGCATAGGGGTCCGTTATCCGCTGCTTTCAACGGCGGTGGTACATATCCAATCCGAAACAACCCCAATCATCGCCTGAATACTCATACCGACGAGAGCATGAGGAGAAACGACCCTTTTGCTAACTACCTCCATCTGCCATCTGGAACTTCTAATTTATTTGGTGCTGAACGTGCATAGGCAAACACTTGGGGTTTTTACCTACCGCCGCTATGTCATTTCAATTTCCCCAGATGAAAAGGTCGAGGTAACCTCGTTTCATATCTCGATATCTGTGTTTCTTGACCTTTCTGATAACTACCAGTGATTTACTCATTATCTGTCATTTTAAATGAGATTCTTTTCGCAAGGCTTGTATATGGAACGGATGGAAACCTGCTTGCCTACCTTGATGTAACTGGCTCTCGTCAGTTGTTCAGGATAGATAGTGAGCATCAAATTTTGATAGTTTTCGGGATCGGGATCTTAGTAGCTGTTTTTTCGTGAAATTTCACTCCCCCCTGAACCTGAATTCATTCCACATGGAGATAGCACAGCTAGGACAACATTACAGAGATAAATCAAGTGTCTTCAATTCTAGCATCATGTATACTCCCACCAGATGCGTTAAACGAGTAAGATACTGTCCAAAGAAGAAAACCCTGCAGCCACCCCGCCTTCATCACTATCTTTGGCCTTAGTTCTCATAAGCCAGCCGCCTTGCGTATTATGCAGTGTCTCCCCATTAGTGTTCCAAAGAATTGTGCCGTACGTGCCCAACTCGCCGATTACATCACCGCTGAGAACTTGACCGTCGCTGCGAAGTGCAACATTCTTAGCCGGGGGAGGTTGTATGAGTTCCATTAGTATCCAGCCTTTCCAGTCCTTTTCAGGTATAGATTTGAGGAACGACGGTATGGAGTCACGATACACGTTATTTCCGCCTCCCTCACGCTGAGGTTTGAGGACATGGAATGCAGCAGTTTCTGGATTCAAGGCGAGTTCCCTACCACGGCCTCCTTCGGCCAGATCATACTGTGGTGCAAAGGTAGAGCGTATTTGCTGTATTCTGCCAGGATTTGTGCAGGGAAGGAACCGGGTTAAATAGTCCATCTCAGGGCCGCTGACTGCTGTGGCTAGGATTTGTTGCACCTTCTTACAGCCTGATAATTGGTTGAGAACCGTTGGGCATTTAATGGCTGTTGAGCGTTCTAGGTGAGTTCGTGCTTTCCAGGCCGATTCATCCGGATAGTCTTGAGGCCCGTATAAGGCTCGAAGGTAAATAGTGGTAGCCTCGAACTGAGTAGACGGAGAATATCTTGGGGTATATATGATGGGTCTAGCCGGGTTAGATTCTTGAATAGAGGTTAACTCTAGAATCTCATCACTTGTAACCCGGAACACGGTGATATTGTGTGACTGGGAGAGGCAGGTTGCAAGCTCCATCTGATCAAAAAGATTCCTTTCTCCAGCCTGTACTATAAAAAGAACACATAGAGGTAGTGGGTTTGGAGAAGACTTGGAGGGACCATATGCCTTATGGGCGGCGGCGAGGCCTCCCGCCAGAGTAGGAACAGCGGTATTTTCGGGTGGTATGTTACCCCTGAAGGCTGGGTGTGACGGGTACACTATGGGCTGTCCGGTTGGAGATGATAGGAGAGATGTATGCATCTGAGATACCAGTCCTGATAGTCCTCCAAAGGATGCAGCAATAGTGTTGAATTCTACCTGCTTCAGTACTGGTTCTTTGGATGAACCGGAAGGGTCATGAACCATGTAGTCTGACCGAAACAAGCCAAGTGAAAGAGGCTGTACATATCCTTCATTTTTGACAGCTAGATGAACTTTCCAGAGGCCGGCCACAAAGTCATCTACTTCCACAAGGCTGTCACAGGGGAATGGTAATTAATAACTATCCATACATCATTTGCACAGAAAAAAAAAAGAAAGAAAGAAAGAAGGAAGGAAGGAAAGAAAGAAAAGAAAAGAAAAGAAAAGAAAAGAAAAGCAGAATACTTACTCCTCGATTATCTCTCCCAGCCAGTCAGTGTCCGTAGTTATAGAGGCATAAAGCTGGTTGTATGTTTCCTGCACCGACACGGCCGCCTCATAGCAGGACCGGGGAAAGAGACTGGGGAACAGAGTCACCGGGGCATTGGTCGCCAGCACACCCTGTGGATCAGAAGTTCCTTGTACGAATGCCGGAGGAGGTCTGACAGCAAGACCATGATGTATACACCAGTCCTTGATGGTAGCAACTAGATGCTGCTTCTGCTCGGAGGAGAGCTCTGGAGGGTAGCAAGCTGCGAGGTCCATTGGTGTCGTAGCCGAAGACTTCCGGCTGTCGAAAATTTATAACAGAATAAAGGATGCAGGCAGAAATGTCTATTATCTCTTCTAAACGGCCTAGAAGTAGTCTTTATATATAGATTTATAAGATGCAAAAAGTTCCGGGAGTTTCGAGCTGGGCCGAAGATTGACGTTGCGTTGCGCCGCTTATCAATCAACTTGCCGGGCTGAGCCCACCACTTTGCCCCGCCGTTAGTTACAGACAGCCGGCTAGCAGTCGAATATAGTGCCATCAGGTTCAGGACAGGATGGATAGAGATGAAGGACAGATTGAAGTTTGAGGTATTTTTGCTGCTATATAGGCAGGGTTATCCAGCATCTGAGAAGCTGTGGAAAGGACAAGCTGGATATTTGACTGCCCTTAGGACTCCTCTAGAGAACCCCTCTATAGAGCTTACCGGACTTTATCTTCCCGCAGTCATCCGAATAACTACTGGGATGCGATAGCTGCCCTTACCTACACGGTCATCGGTCCTTCATCGTGTCCATACAACGACCAAAGGGTTTGGCCTCGTCGACTCTCACCTTACATAGTTATCAGTTCTTAAGAGGTGATCCTCGTAGACAGTTTCCCCGGCTCCACAAATGTTGTCAAGCTTGACTTGCTCATACTGCTATCAAAGTGACATGTCGGTCTTGTAGTAGGATTTTTGGACTTGGTAATCATCACAAGAGTTAATGGAGATAGAACAGGTGTCCGAATGTCGGACTTTAAGTAACCCTCCTCCTAGAGGTGTCAACTCCGCAGTCACCTCGAACAGCTTTCTCTGGGTCAATCTGAGGGGAAAGTGAGGCGAAAGAAAGCGGAAAGATGTAAACCGCGTCAAAGCAGCCCATCGTCCGGTGCTTCTCTATTAGTACCATATGTTAAGTAGCTGCCGGTTGGTCATATTCCTGGAGGGAATAGCCGGGATCCGTGGATGATTCAACTTAAGACGCTTCGACGCGCCATTCCTGCAGGGTTAACTATAAGGATAGGTGAGTTAGCTAAGAATTAACGGCTCGTTTCATAACTCAGTTGGGTTTCACGTATGCGCCTTAGAAGTGAGCTTCGTCATATGGATAAAATGAGCTGAGAGTCGATCATCTCGCAGTTAATGAGTAAAACCTGCCATTCAACAAGCCCAGTCTAACTGATAAATAACTAACAGTAGGCGGCAGATAGCGGATAGATGCAGTTAGATGAAATGAACCCGCATCCTTTGGAACTGAGGGGCTCAATTAACCAGCAAAGTCGTGAGTCAACAGCTAGAATAAACTGTTAGAGAGACGCTTGCAAGTAGAAGCGGGCGGAAATTTGCTTACATAATAGTCACTTAAATAGAATCTCGTAGCACTATACCGACATCAGGTGATCAAAACGCGGGGTTTAGCCAATTAAACTCTCCCAGAGTCTATATAATCCGCTAGTTAACTAAATCTCGCCCTGAGACGTCGCTTATCGCTTCGCAAAACCTTAAAAAAGGGAAAGAAACCAACGTCTTTTTCGACGCGTCCGGCGGGACGGAAGCTGCAGAAGCTGCAAAAAACACGACCAGAGAGACAGAAGAAAAGCCCTCTGTCGCTTGACTGCAAGAGGTCAAGGGCACGATGGAGGCAGACCCGTTCTTCTGGTCTATTGATGAAGTGGTCGCGTACCTTTGCCATGGCTCGTTCAACGACTGGGCTCGCTCCTCTCTACCGCGTCCCGATCCAATCCAATTGGAGGGCCACCTGCGAGAGAACTACGTGACTGGGGAAGTCCTTTTGACTGAAGTCGATAGGGAGGCCTTGCCTCGCTATCTTGGGTTGAAAGCTCTCGGGCACCAAGCAACAATCTTCAAGGCGATTCAGTACTTGAGATCGCGTTCTTCCGAGTTTCGTAACGGTGTTAACAATGACTTCTCAAATACCCAGAATGCCGTAGTCACCTCCCCTGCCAGAGTTGACACCTTTCCTGGCCCGCCTGTGGCCGAAAACAGATCTATACCGACACCCCTACGATCTTCCCCCCAGTCTCAAGCTCCACTAGCCCAACTGGCTACCCCTCAGCCCGCCGAGTCTACGCTCAAGCTTGTCGATCCCCCGGCACCTCAGCAAAAAGAAAGAGACGCTAGAAAACGTCGACGTCTCAATCCTGACGCGCTATCTACCCAATTGCTAGCTAATGTCCCCGAGAATCCCCACCGGAAGAGATACCTCTGTTTCCAGAAGCATCCGGTTAAGGATGTGTTCTATAAAGGGATTGATAGTGACGATGATAATGATACGTTTGGATATGTACGTCCGGCAAATTGCTCAACGGGTGAATCCCGCTTTATTAATAGGCGAATACTACATTTCTTACAACAAGTACCACAACCATTCCCGGAGGATAAAGAAGGATCTCTTGCAATATTTCCATATGACGAAAATGTTGCACCAGATGTACCTCGCTACTTCACGCTCTACAATAAAAATAATGGGAGAGTCAGTGTTCGAATGGAGGAAGTTTCAAAATGGCCGCATCTCAGAGAAAAATCCCCCTTGGACTATCTTGCTGTCAAGTATCCCCCACAGAGCGATGAATTGCCATTGTACGGCGAATCTGGGTCCGAAGACTATGACTCCGAGACTTGTAGGGATATGGATGAAGCTAGGGACGACGCGAAAAGTGATAATGAGGATGTTGCGTCTAGCCTCATGTCTGCAGCCGACTTGAACGCGATTATTGATCAGTTTATTACCGATACTATTGAAAAATGGCGGAATACCAAGCTTCCAATCTATGAAAGAACGGCATATGCATTGTGGAATAAATCAAGGAAGAAGGGAACTGTTTCCAGCGATATTCGTCGAGCAAAAGTCCAGATCACTCATTTTGACAAGCGTCTTGCTAGCTGGATAAAAGGCATAAAAAGTAACGAATATGAAACAGGTGACCGTGGTAAAGTTTTACGACAGTGCGCATCATTGGAAGTGACAGTGACGCAGAGAGAGATTCAGAAATGGCGAGTGTCTGTCTTGGAGTTAGAGACATGCCCTTCCAAGCCGAGTGCTCCTCCAGCTCGCCCGACAGCGTCCCGACCACGCTTCAGGGATAATGACGAGGAATCTATTGGGTCCGATACTGACGAAGCTGTGGAAAGTGACCCGGATTTCGTTGTCTCCGATGATAACCCGATGAATACGCAAGGAACAATATCCCCTGAAAGGAATAGAAATGTTGTCCCTTCACCATCATCCATTCTAGAGAAAGAGAACACAAACCCTCTACCTGACTCGGCTGCTCAGATCCCCATAAGAGGCCCATTTGAAGATGTTGACGTTCTGGACTTGACTGAAGCAGATATAGAAGGTGAACAAGAGATCGAGGATGCTGACGGCTCTGGCAGCCTGGATATCCACACACCGCCATTAAATCCCACAGGAAGTTCGAAGGATGGGCTTGTGTTTTCTCCCCCTCCCCCTCCCGCTCTTCCTAACCCGGTGCGCGATCGCTCTCCTTCAGATGACGAATCATCTAGGCAACCTGACATAACTGATGTTACTGCATTGAATAAGATCGACTGGGAGACCGTTATAGAACGGGGCGATAGGAGACTACTCCTCGCCAAAATCATCTATACTCTGTCCAAGGATGAGCGAGCGAAGTTAACTGCATTACTTGGCTCTGTGGAAAAGAATACATGGCGTCGGCGACTACGGGAGGCCTTAAAGGCGATTCAGAAGAAAGGATACAAAATTACATCTATACCTGGGGAAGATGTCTATCTCTATAAGAGGATGGCTACCTTGTACGTCTCGTGGTTCAAAGTGGTTCTTATTAGGGGGAACGTAGGTATTCCGACAGCCTACTTGAGGGAAGCCCGCCGTAAGGATGAGGTGTTTCCTTATTACAATGATCTTACAGAGATTCTTTGTGTTGAGAATCGAAAGAGTATAAAGCGGGAGACATCCTGCGAAATCATCAACTCGTCGCAGAATACCTTGCGCAATGGCTCTTCGGTAGTCACCGATCCAATTATTATTATAGATGACGATGATGAAGAAGAGCCTTCAGGGAGGGAAGCTCAGACACAAGAAATTGTGAGATCCACTCCACGCAAAAAAAGAAAGAGAGCCGTGGCAGAAAGTAGGGAAGCCATGGAGACGCAAAGTCGGGCGCAGCGCCGTGTTGAAGAACAGGCAACACGGCAGCGGATATTACAAGAAGAAGGGGGAATTGAAAATGATGATCCAGAGAAGAAAATCATCAGCTTTGATGATCCTGTTATCTGTCTACACCGCGATCTCGGACGCCGCATCAAAGAGCATCAACTTTCAGGGATTCAATTCATGTGGAGAGAACTGATCAAGGATGAGAAAAATGAAGGCTGTCTTCTAGCTCATACAATGGGACTAGGGAAGACAATGCAAGTGTAAGTTACCTCCTTGGCTCCCTATATTGTGTATAAAATGCCGTGTTAATCTTAAGGAAAGGATCTCTCTTCTGGTAACCATTGCCAATGCATCAAATTCATCAGATCCCAAAATCAAAGAGCAGATCCCAAGACGGTTTAGAACATCTAGGACTCTGATTACATGCCCTGCATCGTTAATAGATAACTGGGAAGAAGAATTTGCCAAATGGACCCCGCCAGATGCAGTGACTAGGGATAACCTAGGGCGAGTGCGTAAAGCTATATCCCAGGACCCAATACAGCGGCTCCGTACCATTAATGCCTGGTATACTGAGGGTGGCGTCCTACTGATCAGTCATGAGCTCTTGCGACGAATGATTCTTTACAATCCCCAGAAAACTGGCTTGCAAAGACTGTCTACCGAACAGTGTGAGATGCTCAAAGGACAGTTACTCGATGGTCCAAATATTGTTGTTGCAGATGAGGCACACAAGATGAAGAATGGCGCGTCTAACCTGTCAAAAGCATGCAGTATGTTCAAGTCGAAAAGTCGCATCGCATTAACCGGATCTCCCCTGTCAAATCAATTGATTGATTACTATCAAATGGTCAATTGGATTTCGCCTAACTACCTTGGGACGCTGAAACAGTTTAAAGCTAAATATGAGGAGCCTATAAGAGAAGGCTTATACTACGACAGTACCAATGCGGAATACGTCAAGTCTCGCAAGAAATTGGAAGTCTTGAAAAAGGTTCTTGAGCCAAAGGTAAACCGGGCCGGCATATCAGTCCTCCAAAAAGACCTTCCTTCCAAATTTGAATTTGTCATTTATATCCCACCGACACCCCTGCAAAAGGAAACCTACAATCAGTTCGTGGCTTTGACCATGGAAGGGAAAGGTGAATTTGAATTCACACGGCTGTGGGTTTTGCTTTCTTATCTGACCCTTCTATGCCATCATCCTTCATGTTTCTTGCGAAGGATTCTTGAGAAAAAGAAAGCAAGGAGCCAGGTCATTGAGAGGGAGAAAGCCATAGAGGGAGGCCCGGGAGTAGTAGTTCCTTCAGAGTCCGAGCCCGAAGCGAACGTTGATGACAGCTCAATCTTAATCACTGTGGAGGATGATGTTCTAGAAATTGAGGGCCAAACCGCCATAACGGATGAAGTTGTGTCACAATTTGAGCAAAAGTTCAAAGACATAAAAGATTTGGATTCCCCTGAGAATTCCCATCGTACGCAGATGGTTGGACAAATTGTTGACGAATCTATCAAAGCGGGAGACAAAATCCTCATATTTTCGGGATATTTACACACACTTTCTTATCTTGGCTCAATGTTAGAGGCGAGAGGCCACAAGTACTGTCGCTTGGATGGAAAGACGCCGATAGCAACTCGACAGGCAGCAACAAGGGATTTCACAGACTCAGATGCGCACGTATACCTTATCTCAACGAAAGCGGGCGCCTTAGGCCTCAACATCATTGGCGCAAATCGGGTTATTATCTTTGAGTCCGAGTACAACCCAACCTGGGAGGAGCAGGCCATTGGGCGGGCATACCGTCTTGGACAGACCAAGGACGTTTTTGTCTATCGCTTCGTCATGGGAGGAACGTTCGAGGAATTGATACATGAGAAGGGTGTTTTCAAGAAAAACATGGCCCTTCGGGCTATTGACAAAAAGAACCCTACACGGTCTACGGGCAAGTCTACAAGCGAATTCAGACGCCCTATCCAAAGTTGCAAGAAGCATGATTTGTCCGAATTCCAGGGCAAAGACCCAAAGGTATTAGACAAAATTCTCGCGCAGACTAACTTCATTCATCGAATTGTCACCTCAGAAAACCTCCATCGTGAGGATGGTGTGCAATTTACTCCAGAAGAGAAAAACGAGATTCAAGCGGAGTTAGATGATGAGAGATTGGAACGCTCCAACCCTGAGTTGTGGGCAAAGAAACAACATGAAAGGAGAATAGCACAAGAAAAACGCATTCAGGAAGATATGATGAAGGTGCTTCAATCACGATTCCCGGTTAACAACAGCCTTCAATCTCGACCGGGCCACTATTCCGTTCCTATGCAGCAAGCAGCTCCTTTTAATCATAACGGCAACAGTGTCATAAATACACAGAATATGCGGCCCCCTTGGCCTCCAGCTTCACACTCGCCACAACTTCATCTACAGCCCCAGACAGCACCAGTTACTCATAGTAGCAACGGTGTCATGAATACGCAGAATACGCTTCCCTCTGGGCCCGCACTTCCGCGTTCACCACAACTACAGTCACAACCCCAGACAGGTCCTGTTTCTCACAATAGTAATGGTGTCATGATTACGCCGAATATGGCTATCCCTCGGCCCCCAGTTCCGCGTTCACCGCAGCCACAACCTCAGCTTCAGGTTGCTTCCCAGGCACCAAATCAAATGCAGTCCCCGTCACAAATTTCAGCTTCATCACAAGGTCGAAGCGAAACGGTATCACCTCAGGCACCTCCAACACAATCACGGCCGGTGCAAGGTCCTGCCTCAGCCCCGGTTTATTCAGTCCCTCCAACTCTCCCAACACCTCAAGCTCCAGTTCCCGCCCCTCGAGCTCAAGATCCGGCTACTTCCATCTGCCGAGCGCCTTCAGATCCCTCGACCCCGACCCTAGCTCCAGCTGCGGCTTCGGTTTCTCAGGCTTCTCCCGTTTCCCAACAAACGCAACAACCGATCTCTCCGTCTAGTGTGTCTTCAGCAAACCGCGGCAATCTAGGGGAGAAGGCCACTCAGCCTCGAAGTACACAGCCTTCTCCGTTACCCCCTTTGGTTACCCAGCCTGTACCAGAGCCCAGACCCAGTTCTCCCGAAATGATACACGCAGGGATAAGAGGTAAGTAAACACTACACGGTGGAACAATTTAAGAGCAAAACACTGAGTCAACCCTGACGATAAGATCCACCTTCGAGCGTCGATGATGATCCAACGATGCAGGACTGCAAACAACAATAGAGACCTTTGGATCCTTCTTTCTTTCCCACGAACGAACCTTGCTAGCCCCGTCTGATATTGAGTCAGTTTCTCGTTCCGCTCGCCCTCCGCCTGCTGTTCTTGAATTAAAATTTGCTCCTCCTGTCGCCTCCCTAAGGTCACTTGCATCCAAGGTTTTTTTTTTTCCATTATCACTTAGTTATATTTGTGCAGCATTTTTGCATATGGCTATTTATTAGTACGGGCCCTGCGGTTTGTATCAAAAGCAGGTTGATTAGTAGTTTGGGTGTACATGGGAATTGGGTCAGACAGGTGGTTACCACGGGAATGTTGCATCATGATACCCTTTTTTTACTTTCACGTTTCTTGCGATCCCCTGTGCATTTGTTGCCCGGCTAGTACTATTCTACGTATACAATTACTATGCAAAATTCACATTGTCCCTCTGCAATATTTCGGGGGACAGGACTGGCAATGTATTAAGGTACTATAAGGGCCTGGGTGTCTAGTAGGAAAAAGACTATACAAAACTGGAAGGCATGGGAACGAATGTTGGTTTGTATCCGCATTACGTCTCACCGAAGGAGTTTTTCCAGATCAGCTAATCTAGACCGTCGTGCCTGGTCCTTATGGCCAGCTTTCTCTTGGAAAGCCGTGCTCATAAGTTCCCGTTTTTCCTTCTGAATATCAAGTACTCGGTCCTCAATACTGTTCTCCATGACAAGTCTCCATATAGTTGTAGGACGTGTCTGGCCTAGGCGATATACGCGGTCCACAGCTTGATCTTCAATGGCTGGAGCCCACCAGCTATCAGCCAGGACAACCTGGTTGGCAGCCACCAGATTGAGGCCAACACTGCACACATTCAAGCTGGCAAGCATCACGGTACATTCTGAGTCACGGGAAAATTTACTCATGGCAGCGTCACGCTGGGCAGAGTTCATCTTTCCATCAATTCGGGCAAAGTTGATGTTATATAAGACAAGGTGAGGTTCAATCAAGTCAAGGAAGGATGTCCACTGGCTGAAAACCACCGTCTTCGTCCCAGCGGCTTGACCTTTTGCCGTCAAGATTTTGATGAGAGCCTGGATTTTACTGCTTGAAGAGTCTGACTCTACGTCAATTTGATTGCAGTCTTCGCCAAGTTCCGCAGCAGGGGATACCAATTCCGAGCAATCTTTAATCTCGGCACGACAGAGAGGGCATTTGTGCTGGAGTTCGATTGTTTGCTCAATGCAGGAGTAGTCGAAAGCGTGTGCACAGGGGGTAATGACAGGGTTGTCTAGACTTTCGAGACAAATGGAACATTCTTCCTGGCTTTCGATCCTTAATTGCAATACAGCCTGAAGTGCCTTGACGTTCTCCGGGGTGAGCTTAACCACCTTATCCTTCTCCAGTAATTCCATAAGTCCTTTGACACGGTCGTGACAAAGTTTCCAATGGTTGCATACTTGACGAAGTCGTAGGAGAACCTCAAGGACATGAGAATATGTTGTTTTCTTGCCTTTCTTGTTGGACTGGAAGTCCATGAAGACACCCTTGGCCTCGGCCCTAGAGTATTGGTGTTATTTGCTTGTTTAGTGGGGCTAAGCATTGAATGGGTAATTACGTACTCAAACATTTCGTACTTCTCCTTCTCGTGGGGAAGAAATTTAACGTGTAGTATATGAGATTCCATAGGGGGTAGACGAAGGTTTACGAAGCTCATATCCTTCCTGCGTCTTAAGCATATGGTTGCCATCAAGGCCTGGAGTAGAAGACTAGCATTTTCATCACCAGCATTCCGAGGCCGAATCAATGCACTGTGAAAGACAGGTAGATCCTCTAAGCCGCCGGATAGCCTGATAAACTTTCCTTGGGAGTACAGGTCTTTCAAGTTATTGACGATGGGGGTACCGGTAAGAGACCAGCGTGAGTCTGCCTCTAGCATACAAGCTGCACAAGCTGCCTTTGTCTTTGGTGTTCGAATTGTATGGCCCTCATCCAAGACCACTCTCCGCCAGCGTACAGAGAAAAGTCCTCTTTTCGTCTTTGCAAACTTCCCGGTTGCACCGAGCAATTGTCCGTATTCTGAGGCAAGAGCACCATACGTAGTGATAACCACGTCGTATTGAGAGAGATTAGCAGCCTCTTTTTTACCAGAGCCGTGATATGTTAGAACACGCAATGCATGCTCCTTGTGGATATGAGCCGCTATTTGATCTCTCCAATTGCTCATCACACCAAGAGGAGAAATAATGAGTGTGGCCTTAGAAGACTTTGGTGTTTTAGGGGTCGCATTAGCTAGTATTAGCGAGATGACCTGTATCGTTTTACCAAGGCCCATGTCATCCGCCAGAATTCCACCACTTGCAAGTGGCGGCGCAGTCGAAGATGAGTAGTTAGTTGCAATGTTCATGTATCTCTTACCAACTCGTTTCCATAGCTGCACGATATCGTCAGAGCCTTCTTTTGGAAGGCTGGGGGATTCGCGGTCAAGCATCCATGCCAGTCCCTGCCGCTGATATGGAAGGAGTTCCGTTGAAAGTTGAGGAGGGCATTCTGCCATTGGCATCTGTGAAAGCTCAGTTTCATCCAAGCCAAACTTTTCCACAATCTTTTCTGTCTCTCGAGGATTAAAGGCAATACTCTGAGAGAGAAGTTCGTCCAAACTCTCTGTTTGCTGGGACGGTTCTGCCCCTTGGGAAAGATTCGCGAACATTGGATTGCCTTTCTTCTGTTGGGCTAGCGCTCTTGCATTTGCACGCATCTTCGCAGCATCCTCTTTGGCCTTCTTTGCAAGATCTTGTTTGTGTTTCCGAATTGCTGCTTTAACCACGGTGGTTGGTAACCTATCACGTTGCATTTTCTCCATTAATTGTTCCCTTGCCCCAGGCTCACTTGTTCCATACAGGTGGAGTGTAATAGGACAATCGTATGCTCCTATTTCACCGGATAGTGTACCTTCTACCAGCAGTTCATTCGAGTCCTAAGGGTGATTCAGCACCAGTATGTCTAGCAACGGAGACAGCCAATTACCATATAAGGAGCAAGCTTGCTGACTAGTACACGGGGTAGATGACCGATTTGGTGGCCCATGACATTGTCGATTCTGACAGCATTTGAATCATACTTGTTGTTGCTGTCTCTTTTGACAAGGACACACTCGCCCAATGTGGCATGGCCATTGTAGAACCTCACGCCCACGATTTTAGTTTCCAGATGACCTAGAGGAATTTTACTGGTTAGTATTTCCGGTCCATTTCCTGCGATATTTTGGCGTGTCGAAGAGATTAATACCGTAGAGCTCCGAGGTCAAGTAAGCCGTTTCATCGAATTGAGAATCCTGAACCGCCTGCATTGCATTTAGTTCTTCATCATGCTCCATCTGGGTACTCGGCTCCCCCTGAGTAAGATCCACGAAGCTCTGACGCGCCCTTAGCTCCTGGCCATCAGTAGGGGCTGTGTAGCTCTTGCGAGTCGAGTCAGAGGTAGGTTCACCATCTCCAGTGAGATCAACTAGATTAATCCGCCGTTTGGTTGACATTTTGCATGATATCTCGATTCAATGGCTTCTGGGGTTCCTCAGGCCAGAATTATCATTACTTTCAAGCCTGAAGATCAAGCAAAATGTTGTTCTCCATAGCTAGTTAAGTGAGTTAAACCTAAACTAACTCTGTCTTGGCGCGATTTTTGTATCAGCTCAACGATAAAACGTTGATAGTCGTGTTGATTCCGCGTTTCAACATTCCAGTTGGGGATATTGGCACAACAGAAGAGGATTGTATAGACGAATGTCATGTTTCTTATTCTTCCCCATCCAAGATGCTAAAAATATCGATTTCGTGCAAGTGAAAATCGTACTGATTAGGATTACTTAAGCTTTTCAATGCATTTGTTACGCGTTTAGATTAAGGTTCCTTTTCCTCTATAGGTAATAATAACATCACGTGATACAATTAGGCAAATGTTTAGCGCGCGGCTAATTGCCGCTAAGCTTAAAAACGCTTTGTTGATTTTTTGCTGCTTTTTTATTATTATTTATTTTTTTTTTTTTTTTCAGCGTTAAAGAAACGAAAAAAAAAAAAAATGAGAGAGAAACAGGAGAAAATAAACGAATAGTTGCATATTTTCTATTCAGTCTACGGAGCACACCCGCAGCGATTTGGAGATTACTACCCAGTTATCCTCGGTCACTACGGTGTATCCAGCCATAGCAGTACAACCAGTAGTTATACGGAGCCGTCACGCCATAGTTAGGGAGCTAACTACGCTGTTTGCACGCGGTTATACGAATGACTTCCTGTCCTCCACGTCGTTTTCCCCGAGTGCAAGGCTTCCTCGAAATAATGGACTGGTACGGAATAATTGCAATTCCTCCCTATTGCTGTCATGGGCGAACCTTCTATGTAGAAGCATGATCGATGGGTCAAGGTTAACGTGGGCAGTCCCAACACTATGATTTGGATCCTTTACTCCGTACGCAAATAGGTAACACTAAAAGAAACCCGGTGTTTCAAGATTAGCGAAGAATCTTCCGCCCAGGTAAGGCTATTATTTATACAGCACTTTCAACCAGGGTTCTCACCAACTTAATCATCTCCTATTATTTTACAGCTTCCGTATGACAACAAGACAGAATAATTTCATGCGAGGATAGATAACTACTGGTCCAAGCCACTGATTCATAGACTAGGGTCAGCCATCAATAAATACACAAGTGTGGCAACCAATGATTGCCCGGTTCCCAAAACCATTTCTAGCTCCACCCCTTAAATTGTTAGATTTCTCCCAGGCCAAATCTCGAGCCAGCCTTGTCACTCGCTGGCTCTCCAGGTTGTGATTCCATCTTGATGTGCTGCTCTAAGGATGGATACTTCTTATATAGACACAGTGAAGTCACACCTGCAGCGTCGAAATGAGCTTTTTGATGCCAGAATCAAGTCTGGAGAGTTCCAACCTTTGGTGTTTCCCCGGGACTTTGCATCAATATTCATCGTTATCTTCGCCCTTGTGATCAAGTGGCCTCGCGACGGGCCTGTCAAATATATAAGGCATCTACTTTATTTTCACTCTCTTTACTTAAACATATATGTCATCGTACACTGCAGGTCGCTCCTCGTTTTGGGTGGTTATGGCGTTGGATTGATCTTCTCATGGCTTAGCATATGGAGTGCCTCCTTGCTCATATTCAATGACGTGCAAGGAACTTATAAGCGGATCGAACGGTCGTTTGTACCTTTCGATACTTCGAAGGAGAATTTGCTGCAGGGACGAGGTGGCAAGACTGGTCGCACTCCAGGCATACTGAAGAATTCCGCAAGTGAATACGACTCTTCGAATGGGAATGCGAATAGCAAGGCTACTTGCTCAGATCCAAAGATAGTTCCGCGGTTCAAATGGCAGGGCTTCCCAGAGAAGCTGGGCCACCGGTTCACCTGGGCCTTTGATCTTTTCTTCAGCCATAGGGGCCCGCATTGGAACTGGAGACCGAAGGACTTCGCGCCTCTCCCAAAACAAGTCCAACTCCAGCTATCTCGGGGTGAGAATGCCGACCTGGATGTAGACGTGCTTTGGGAAGAGAAAAATACCCGAGGCGTACTGGTTGGTAGCATCTATAAGTCGGTGCTCTATTTCTTCTGTCTCGATTTACTGAAAGTCATCTCAACTGGAGACCGACACTTCCTGGGCCACATTATCTGTCCGCCTCCGCCATTCCTTGCCTTTTGCGGGCCTCTCGCACCTACAATAGCATACATGTATCGTCTTGCTATGAGCGGGGCGGCTGTGTATTGCGCAGTATTATTCCCAACCACGATATCTGCTACTATTTTCCTGGCCATATCTCAGACACCGCTTGGATTGAAGACCAGGGTCCCATTTGAAGCCTCGTTCCTCTATCCGCCTTATTTTGGAGATATTCTTATTCCAATCCTGGATGAAGGTCTGGTGGGATTCTGGGGAAAGTTCTGGCATAAACAGTTCAGAGCTGGATTTCTAGCCCCTGGTAATTGGATAAAATCCAAGCTTATGTCTAGGAACCCGGGGAGAAGATGGCCACAGTCGATTTTCTGGGGCCTCCAAGTTGTTATCTCGTTTACATTGAGCGGCATCCTGCATTTCTCGGGGAGCTATACGCAGAACTCCTCCACGAACCCTTTCAATCAATTTCTATTTTTCGCACTTCAAATCGTTGGTATATTTTTCCAAATATCGATTGAAAAACTCTCTGGACGGGTGATACCCTTCAGAATCCCAGTGTGGCTGAAGCGCCTGTCAAAGTGTGTCTTCGTCCTAGTCTGGCTGGCTTGTGTTGGGCCTCTGCTTTGTGATGATTTTACAATTGGCGGCGTTTGGATGGAGGAGCCGGTACCATATAGTCCCATTCGAGCTATGGGGTTTGCAAAGGGGACAGGTGGCGCAGTGCGTTGGCAAGCTGAACCACTGCGATGGTGGAAGGGAACAAGGTGGTGGGAGCGTGGTATCATTTTATAGATTCATGCGTCGCCAGCCTGATTCAAGTATAGATATAGAATGGTAGAATCTTCAATCTGAGCTTCCTGCTATTAATTTCGCAGGGGGTTAATTGGTGGCATTTTTGAGCAGCGTTATACGACCATAGCATTATATAATTAAATAGTGCTTTGCCTCAGCTTTTCGCCTTGAATAAGGATTCTGTCCCGTGGAAGTATTCCAAATACCGCTAAAAACACGACTCCTGAATAAATATACACAATGTTTCTCAATCTTCGCCCTCCTCGTCAGTATCGGATTCAATGTTCAACCGAGGAATCTCGTCATCGCTCTCCGCATCAGCTGCAGTACCTGTTTCATGACTTTTGGTTATCATTGGCGGTTGACTAGGCTCTTGGGCTTTGTCTTGGGTAGGATGACTGATTTCGGGCTCCGGAAACACGTTCATTTTCAAAGTATTCTGATCATTTGAACCGCTTAATGAGCTTGACAGAACATCAAGGGCTTGTGCCACTTTCCCACTCGGTAAGGCATTAGAGGATGTTGGTATATCATTTTGAACCCGAGGTCGTTTATCGGGTTGTGGTGAATCAGCCGGAAGTGCATTGTCAACGTCATCCTGGTGCCTTCGTTTATTTCGTCCAGCGTCGCTCAGTAGGGCTGTAGATTCAGTGGTAGCGGGGGCTGGACGGGGCCCAAACTTTTCAGCCAGGGACTCCCGCACATCGGGGTTTTGTGAATCGCCGCCGTGTGTTTCTATCTCGGCGCCATTCTCATAATCTTCGATTTCAACTCTTCCTTTCCTGCCTGCCCCAGTAAATATCACAGGCATACGAGGCCGAAGTAACCCTTCAACCTGAGTGTTACTAGGCTGGCATCTCGCCAGGAATGGGAGTATGCTAGGATGTCCACGCTGCGACTCGGTTGAAGGTATTGGGTTAAGAACACAGGCCAACATAAGATCACTGTTGCCAGCAAGGATTGATGTGCGATCAATCTTCGCACGAAGGGACAAGGGAATGTGTTCGATTTGAACGTATGTGATGGTTGCTAGTAATAATTTGACAGCTGAATCTGCGAGAGGACCAGTCTCGTAGGAACTTCCGGGGCTTATTATGGACTTATTCTGTAAGAATGCATCTGCATTGGTGGTTCCAGTGGAAGTTGATGTGCCCTTGGCACCTGAGGTCGTATTTCCAGTGACTATAGCAGAATCTTTAGGCGGTACTATATCACTGCATGCGGCCTGGATGACTGGTACTAGCGACAGGACATCCGGTTTGGTCAGTGACGGGCCCATAATCGTGAGAGATGCGACAAAGCATTTATATGCCGCTTCTCGGACAGACCGGGCAGCATTTGAAGACGTGAACATCCAGGTAGTTTGTTCCAAACAGCTTCGGGCAATCGAGGGATTCTCTGAGCCAAAAGTTTCAAGGAGAGACTGTAGTACGCCCAAAGAGGCAGCATGCATGGGAGGTATTGCGCTCAGCAATGCTTCTCGTTCGTCTCTACTTATCTCGGGATTGATGGAGGCACCATGCTCTCCTGAGATTGAAGGAGGAGCGATAGACCCCAGTCGGCATGTTAAATCAAGAATTGAGCCTACGGGTATAGAAACTGTTGAGTTCGATCTTGACTTGAGGAAACTTGACAAGAGCTCTAGTAGGCCAACTAACCGCCCGGTTCCTTGTTGTATTCCGGACCAGATGGGGAGCTCAAGAGGGCCAATTCCGAAGTCACCAACAACGGAGTGTGAAGGCCTATTACAAGTTCCCTGTGGCAATGTAGAATCAACTGATTGCCAGTGCTCTACTATAGATCTGAACAAGTGGTCCGTAGTTCGATGTGCAGATAGAATTGTGGCACGAATAGCCTTGGCCCATTCTTCATTTCCTGTATTCTTTGGAGCGCACTGGTGAAGTGATATGAAGAGCTGCTGGGCAGCCCACCTGGTGGACGGGGGTATTACATTTTGTGTATTCGACGAAGCTACCAGCGGCAGGACAAGCGTATGAAGTTGCATCAAGAAAGGCCGGAAAATGGTTGGATGGTTTGGAAGGAGCGTTAAGAAGGAGCACAATATAGTGTTGACCAAGGAGTTCCCGTACTTTAGGGTTCTGCAGTTTTTGGTGCCGCTGAGTGTGGATATAATGTTTAGGCAAGCGGTTATGAACTGTGGTAGCATAGGCGTCGTTATTTCTCGAGTCAATGTCGGATATAGATGCGTGAGTTGAAATATCCGCGTAAGGCACAAGATACCCAGTTTCTTCAACGACAATGGGTCTGGTTTCTGTCAGTGTAGCTGTTGGTTAGCATTTCGCCAGTCTTCAATGTCTGCCTTAGGCAGCAGCTTTTGATCAGAACATACACCTAGTATAGCCAGTATATAGCGAGCCCAGGGCTCACAGCCACGTAGGATCTCCCATCTCCCAGACTCCACCGTTGCTTTCATAATAACCACGCCAGCCCATCGTCCTTCAACCGTCTTATCCTGTAACAGGCTGGTGATGCGCGCTTTCAATTTTTGGAGGAGAACTGCTTTGTCAGGTTCGCCGGCGGATTGACCCTGGTTAGCCGGTACAGACAGAATCGCACTGCTTTCGCTAATCGTTGTAGCAATATATTCAGCCGTTGAGGTCAACTCCTTCACTGGGATGGCACAAAGATTGTGCACTGCGGCGCGCAAGGCCATAACTGCCGTCATTTTGAATTCCTTGACAACAGTCGCATAAACGAAAGTAGCCTAGAAGGTCCATATATCAATTGTTAAGGTTATATAAAACAGTCTGAGCTCGAACGGGCGGAATATGCAGAAGCTGGTGCTCATTAATAATTTTTTTTAAGGCATTCCGTAGAAGATTTTAGCTATGGTCAATGAACACAGTTATTGGTCCGGCGGGGGCGTCTATCTCTCACGTGACAATAATATTTTTTCAGAAGTGTATAGCAATGCAGAGGAAGAATCCAGATCGCCAAAGCCAGATGGCACTCCCATGCTCGCGGATATTAAGTATGTACATGGTATTATATGATGCACATAAGCATAAGGATAGACGACATCGCCTGCATGATAGGCGACAGACCCTTTTTAGCAGCAAGGCATGCAACGACTTAATGACTAATAAGTGAGTATCATGATGACTAATATTAAGCTTCGATAAACTCCAATAAAACGCTCGGGACTTAAAACAGCTCAACCAATAGTATTTAAATATTCCTCCCGAGAAACTTTAAGTTTATTTTTAAGGTTACCGAAGTTTGGGCCGAGTCGTCTCTATAGTTAAACCAACGACAACACTATATTTATGTTTGTGTTTTTCCTTCAACGCTCTTTACATGTACCCAAAAATCTGACACGCCACAAATCCCAAACATATCAACTGTCTTCCAGGGGTCTTTGTCTTGACTAACAACATCAAAATCGAATTCTCGAAGTAACTGCTCATCCACAATGTTAGCAATATGTCTATGCCTACTGACAATTTCGGCACTCACCTCAAACACTGCCTTCGCTATTTCAGCCTGAGCGATCACCTTTCCCATACATTGGTATTTCCCGTGGTTGAAAATAAGTTCGTTTACACGAATCATATTTGCAAGCTTAGCGTCTTCAGCTTCAAACCAGCGCTCTGGACGGAATTTATCGGCGTCTTGGCCGTAAGTTTCTTTACAATGGAACATGCTATACACCGATCGTCCAATATATGCACCTCCAGGCAGGAATATAGTCTTGCTGGCGACAGTGACAAAGTCTCCCCCAGCAGGGATGTCGCGAGGGAAAAGGCCAATTACAGGCGGCAGCAGTCGTTGTGACTCGCGAATCACGGCTTGCAGGTATGGAAGTTGCTTGGCCTGGGCAAAGCTGATAAGACCCTCGCCTGTCCGGGGCGCCTTACCTGTAGCAACTGCCTCATTAATCTCGCACCGGAGTTTGGTGAGGACGCTCTGATTTGCTAAGGTGTGTAGAATCACTGAGCAGATAGAGTAGCAAGGTCCGAAGGACCCGATGACTAGAGCATCGAGAACCTCGGACCGCAGGGCATCGCCTTTTACACCATGCCGGATAAATGAGTCGAGCATATCCTCTGGTTTTTCGCGAGGATTTGCCTCACGCTCCTTTATAAGTTTGGTAGAGACTGCAAGTAATCTTCAGTATCCAGTCTCTTCGGTGGCTACAGGAGTTAGAGCTGGGCCGATGAGTGATGACTGAGAAATTTTCGCAAGCCCGAAGGCAACCAGAATGTTGGCGGTTAGGAACCCTTCTTTTATGGATTTGATATAACCATTTGTATCAGCGTCCTTTTGGACCATCTCGAAGGACTTGCCAAAAGTAATGGCAGTGATAACGTCGTGCGTAAAATACTGAACCTTCGCTGCGATGTCCATGGGCACCACCTTCGAGTCGGAGGACAAATATTTGGACCTGATAAGAAGAAGTAATTCCTCAAGACGCTCATTGATACATAATTCGTAGGAACATTCTGTTCCGTGGAACTAATCATGACAGTCAGTTTACTTAGAAGACTCAATTGTTACAAGTTTCGGAAAATGATAAACATAAGAATAGAATGATTTACCCCAGGGCCTAGCAGTTTCCTTCTCCGGTCATGTTCGGCAGTATCCGTCAGTGAGAAAAGATGATCATGCTGGTAGTCGACACGCATGGCTCTGAAGAACCACTCGGAGCGAGGGTAGCCAGGCTTGGTGGTAACGTGCATCCATACTTCAGGTGAGGATGTAACGATGAGGTTGGGTGCGATTTTGGCGACTGGTCCTGATGGAGAACAAGACAACCCATTAGCTAGAGCTTCCTGAAGACAATACGTGTGCCCAGCAGCATCCCGGCGAGGTGAAAAGGACGATGCCAACCATATTTTTCAATGACATCGTGATACCATTGGGCTGGTGTATAGCGTAAGATAGCTCTTCGATGCAGCCAGCTGGAGAGGTGGGCCAACGGCGGACCGGGTATATGGCGCAGTATTATATAGGCGTGGAGCTTGGTAAAAAGATGGTGGACAGCGATTAGGGAGAGAAAAAGAACAATAACTCCTGCCGCTGAAGTTGGTATCAGAAGCGACATAGCGGGGAAGAAACAGCTATCAAGCTATGTTTATCACCTATATGTTATTAAAAAAAAAAAAAAAAAAAAAAAAAAAAAAAAAAAAAAAAAATAAATCTAGTTTCTACGTACCTAAGGCACCGAGGTAGTTAACTATGGCCTGCTTATCAATCAGCGGCAGAGCAGTGCCTGATATAGCGGCAGTCAAGGAGTTAGAAATATTGGGCCCCGTCATACTCCGTAAGGAAGTAACATCATCACTAAACGGTATCAATGGACTAGCTAGTCGATCCACACGTGGATTGGAGGCGCAGCTCTAGAACTGCAGATCCTCTCCCCGGCCACGTCTTCACTCTCGCCAAACCCAAATCGCCAGCAGCACGCTCAATAATACTGTCAAACTCTAATTCAGTACGAGAGTGAGTGTTGAGGCTTGCAATCAGGTGTAGATCGAGCATTTCAATCAGACGAGCACCCTCCCCAACAGTTCTCGGAAGGTCTACGAAGTCGTGGATCAATAGCTTCGACTTAGCTGGGTCCATGACTTTCGCAACTTCTTGAATCATCTTGACACATTTTCTGCAAAAAGAAGCAAATACCAGATCAGAGATTGACATCAAAAATAGTGGCAGAACGGTTAAAAACGGGGAAAACCTTACTCGTCACTGTTGTCCATCAAGACGTGGCTCAATAAGTAGATATCAGCTCCCTTCTGAGGCTGCTGGGCGTAGTAATCATGCGCCTCCCAAGTAGTCCGGCTCGCTATTTCCTCCCTATAACTTTCCTTGACCATATTTTCAGCATTGGATATGACACTGACGTGGTCCTGCACAATGGCGGCGAGCTGAGGATACGACTTAACAAGACGGATCGCATTCTGGCCATTGCCACCGCCGATATCAACAATCGTCGATCCATCAGGGAGACCGTCAAACGGGTAGATCAGCTCAATCGGCATGTCCAACGGCCCATCATAGTGGCCGGCCATTGCTCGGGAGAAGCGGCAGCCGCGTTCGGTGTCAACGGAGTGATAGTACTCGTAAAGGGGCAGTTTGGCTATTTAGAGTTGCTCAGGTTAGCGTCTATGCTTGTCTGTCCCTCTTTTCTTTTCCCTTTTCCGTTTTTGTTTTATTTTGCCCTTTTTTATCGTCCTTTTTTCTTTTGGTCTTTTTAGTTAATGCAATCGTTTCACTCACTTTGGAATGCCACCCCGAACGCAGCTTCCGTAGGGTCATCTGATATTTTAAAGCCAGCCTCGCGAGCGGTGCGAGCGAGGTAGGCGCCACAGAGCAAGCCGTCGTCGACTCTTAAATCTAGTCAGACTCAAAAGCTACAGCCGGAGATCAACCTCCAGAGCAGTAAAGGACTTACAGGTAATGAACGAGGCTGCCAAAATTGGTATCGAGCAACTGCAGAGAATGCTGGTTATGGTGATAATACCCGGCGCTGGACTCAGTAAATATGAACCTATTAAGGCATATTCTCATGACTCTCTCTGTTATCTTGTAAGTGAATTGCTCGAGAACGCCTAGGAGGGGCAGTAAATTCCCTCACCGATCAGAGCAGGTGATGCGTTGGTACGGCCGGCAAGATAAGACAAAGTTACGCCTTTCCCCCCCGGTTTAATCAGCATTGGAATGCCCATCTCGATGACGGCTGAAAGTGCAACGCTATCACAGTACTACCAGGCAACTTGCACCATCCAGTCCTTGGGCTCTGAGACGAGTGCCTGGAGCTTTCTGCATTCTCGCGCTACTGCTTCGGCCTGATTCTGAAGCATTTGACCTTGTTGGGAGGTAAAGTCACTGGAACGGCCGTTGCAAGCTCGTTGCATATCGGCATACTTGCGAACTTGCTCCGTTATGCCATTTGACATGGCAAGAAGCATATCAGCATCTGGTGGGTATGAAGTAGACATGGTTAGGGTATATTTTCGCCAGCACAATTGTAGTGGATGGTAGGCAGGTTTCACTAATATTCAGACAGACTGTCACAGGCTTTTGTTGACACAGTATAGGAAGGAAGATGCCATAAATAAGCCAATCTGGGTATAGATGGGTATTCGTAAAGTTTACACCCTAGTTAAATGGCAGGTCTCAAAATATAGATAGTTCTGCGTCGCAAGTCTGTATCTAGGCCCGAGTCTACGTGAAAGGGCGGTGTGCGAGATGTGGCAAGTTCGAAATATGCCGTGAGGATCTGTGCCTAAGGAGACGTTGGAGATCCAGGGTCAAGCCAAGGAGTAGGAGCTACAACCGCTTTAAACGGGCCGAACCCCCAGAGCCCCCTATCGACACAGTTCAAACTGCAATACAATATCCAGATCAGCTATACTCATTTTCCCAAACCATCATTAGGAGTCAAATTCACAATGACAGTTATCACAAAACCTTCCATAACGGCAGAGGCATTGTTTGACCAGATATCTGAGACATACGAGGATGCGTATGGCGGCAACGATGGACTCAATACCGCATTTGCCAGGTTAAATGATTATCACGAAGCTGGCTCATCAGTTCTCGATATCGGTTGTGGCCCTGGAGGGCCTGCATCTCGTTTGATCAAAGCCGGCTTCCAAGTTACTGGCATCGACATCTCGCAAAAGATGGTCGACTTCTGTAAGAAGAGTTTCCCTGGAACCTTCCACAAGGCTGACATGACAAAATACGAACCATCTCAACAATTTGACGCTATCGTTTCACTCTTCAACTTGTTTCAAACGTCATATACGACGACATACTCCATGGTATTCAAAATGGCATCCTGGCTCCGGCCTGGCGGTACACTTATTCTGGGAACAATCGCAGCTGAGGACTATATCCAGGATGAAGCGGCTTTATGCACTGCTCGGAAACACCAGTACATTGAGAACTATGACGCCAAATTCATGGGACGAGTCATCCCTGTCACGTTCCTCACTATGAGCAGGTGGCTGAACGTTGTGCAGCAGGCCGGCCTCTTCATCCAAGTTGTCGACCTCTGTGACTTCGAAATCAAGGGTTTCAAACACAAAGAGAACCATTTGTTTATTACCGCGAGGAAGATGAACCTGGAACCATTGTTTGGACCATACCCCTTGCCTACCTTCCGAAGACGCCCACATCTTCTGAGCGAGGGAGCATGGAAGCCATTTGCGGAGCGACTTACACGTCATGAATTCGACGCTGTTCTCAAGGCTGTCGAGTCAAATAAAGAGGTCCTTGATATTGGCAGTGGCCATGGCGGTGAGTCAATAGATACTTCCACCTCACTAAGAATATAGTAGTATCAATAGAGACTAATCTGCTTGCTCCAGAATTACCTGTAGCAATAGCCAAACAGCTAGGCAAAGCCTACGCCATCGAGCCAAACGGGGACAGAAACGAGGTCCTTATCAACAACAGTGCACAGTCAAGTGTCGAAATCCGCCAGGGAACAGCCGAAAAGCTGCCCTTCGAGGATAATAAGTTCGACGCCGCCGTAGCTCTCTGGATCCTGCACTATGTGGATGACCTGGAGCAGTCACTCACTGAAATGGCCCGTGTGGTAGATGCCGCAGCCCCCAACGCTCGCATTGTAATCGTCCAGGGAGCTCCAGACAACGAGGTGGTCAACCTCATTAATAAGGCTTGCGCTCCTATAGCACAGCAGGGAATGCTGCCCGGGGAGTCTGCCATCGACCACCAGGGCTTCCTGCTCGCCACTGCAGCCAGGGTCTTTGCTAGGCATGGCTTCGGTGATATTTCTGTTGCACGGGTCGATGCACACTGCAATTTCCCGGAAGAAGACCTCTCTGTCCGTTGTACCAAAGCGGCGGACGTCCTGACGAATTTCTGGTATAAGGATCATCCTAGGAACAGTGATATGAAGGAGGCATTCCAGCCCGTCCTGAAGGAACATTTTGCGAGCAGGCCACTGGAGGTAGGTGACCAGGCAGTCATCTTAATCGCGAAGCCGACAGCCCGACAGTAGATAGACCGAAGGCTGTCATGGATAGTTAAGCAACAACGATCCTGAGAAGTCCTTGTTTCTCTCGCATTCCACACAGTTGGTCAAGTATAATTAGATATAAATATAAATATGACATCTGATGGCTGGTAACCAGTAGTCACTTGAACGATGAGGTTGCAAGCTGGAATGTTGGAAGTTGTCTGTCGGTAAATACAAGGCGGGACTTGTGTATGTAAGCGCTGCTGACTAACATGAAAATGACTAATATTTCAATGCTGACTAAGATATTTCGAGCTCGCTGCGTAAGGAGGTACGAACGAACCACACAGCGCAGGCTGAGCAAAAGGAGCCTTGGGGCGGCGGTCTTTGCGAAGTCGTGCAAGAGTTTACAGTCGTTCTTTTAGCCTGGCCATGCTGCGGGCCCAAGAGCTCTCCCTTTATCCCGAGAAACTATGACCGTGAGTGCACATGGGATGAGGTGGTCTCGTCCCCCTTGTCTCCGGATACTGACCGTATGATTTCTATAGCAAACCCAGCTTACGGAGAAGGCCCAGCGCTATATAAACTTGCTGAACACGGCGCGATGCAATCAGAATTGGCACGAAATACCTGGCTTGGTCCGGAAAATTGTCAAACACGCCCCTGGCCGGAAGTGTGTGTTTCCCCCCTCTCGATGCCGTCGAGCTCACAGGGATAATATTCAGAATGCTAATATATGGTAATATGTTACAGGTTTGGTCCAAACTGCTCAGGTTGAAGCCCAGATAGTAGAATACTGCAGGAAACGAACGTCCCTAGGCAGTGCTGCTAATGAGCAGGCTGCCAATTCCCTACGAGAGTGCATACCGGACCTCCAGTCCGTACAAGCAGATGAGCAGAATACTCCTGAGGACACCTTCCAGGCGCAGATATGCTTAGCGTGGCTATTCTGGGAGCTCTCTGACCCAGAGGAGGCGGCGGCAAACCTACCTCAGGAATTCGAGAGAACCGTACGGTCTTTGACTACCGGCGAGCAGTCATTGTCCCCATGGACACAAGTGTGTATTGTACAGGGGGGTTATTTGAAAGGTGAATATTCCGACATGGACAGCGACAAGTCTCTTTCAGACTACTAATTGTAATGTATAGGTGCTGCGGAGGAGCTGTCTTCAGGGAAAGAACACGCGTTGCAGACCTTCAAATCGACCTTTTCGTGGGCGGCCACCCCTGCATCTTCTGATATCTCGAATCCTCAACTTTTGTTCTGGTCCGAACAGTATCTGGCGAGGGCCTCAATGCTGGCCTATGAGCTGTTTATATCCAAAGCGCCAAATTACGACGAGGCAAACTTGGAATTCGGGCTACGGTCTCTTCGTCTTTGGGCGTCACATCCTGATATAAAAGGCAGTGACCCTGCGGTGGCTGCAGACATCACACCAACGAATTCAAGTTCAAAAACCTCATTATGGCGAGCATACTATGATCTCCTTTCTATTGTTTTACAAAATGACCTCCAATACCCACCCATGTCGGATGCACCAAAACGTGTTCAGCTCTCAACCGAGTTTCGAAGGATAGAGGCAACTTGCGAAAACGTTCTCCTCAGGCACTCCAAGTTCCCGAAGGCTAATGTTTCTAATCAAGAGGTTGAGCTATGGGTCAAGCAAGTTATTCACAATTGGGAAGTATTCTGTAGCGCGGAATGGTGCGATGATGATTTCGGAGAGGGAGGTCAAGGTGCCATCTCCCGCAATGTTTTGGATGTAAGTTCTTCTCTTTGCATGGAATGTATGAAGAAACCGATAACTGACGCTATCGTAGATATTATATCGCGCTGCAACCAAGACGTTTCACTCCACGTTAATCCTCAGAGAACTTTTTCACGTGCATGCAGCTCTGGCCGAGTTTGACTTGGCTCTTCATGCCCTGGATACATATATTCATCTTGTGAAAGACGCAAAAGAGAGATCTGAACATTCCAGCCACATCAGGGAGGTCGAAGATCCGGCACTTTTCATCTATACTCTAGCCGAGGGATTGATTATGCTATGCTGCTTTGGGTCGCGAAGAGAGGCAGAGAAAGTTAAACGGTTTACTGACCTGTTAGATGAAGCACTGAGTGAACGAATACAAACAAATGGCCATGGTCCAGTTCAATCTAGTACCCAACCCGGTGGCACCAGCATTCCTACTCAGTGGGTCTCATTTGCTTATAGGGCTATTGGCATTGGCCTCGCTACATGGGCAAGATGGACTCCTATCAGTGAATCCAGAGCCGAGCTCCAAGCCAATGCCATTTGTGCCTTGGAAAAAGCTCTGGTAGCCGAGGCTGAACAGGAACCCAATCCTGCTACTGTATTTGCTCTCGCTATGCTACGTGCAGAAACAAGAGATCTTGATGGTGCCATTGAACTTGTTCGTACGTCACTTAGCTCGTCCAATGTCGAAGATGACGCAGAGCAGGCGGACTCTCGCTCCATCATTAACTACGGGGAGAGAGATATTGTTCCACTATGGCACTTACTTGCACTCTTACTCAGCTCAAAGGAGGATTTTAAAACAGCGGCTAATGCCTGTGATGTTGTATTTGAAATGGTATCGACAGAAAAACTGCTCCATAAGCAAAGTTCTGTCCGACCCCTTCGAAACCCAACTGGAAAGGAGGAGGCCTCCGTGGGTTTCGCAGGCGATGGACAACATTCGAGGTTTCCGGATATAGAGACACGCGAGCGGGAGAGCATGGTTGAGTTACGCATGACCCAACTTGCACTCATGGATGTCATGCGTGGCCCCGAGGCTGCTCTGAATTATAGCGATGAACTAATAAGTCTATTTGGCCGGCTTTTTGCTGGTGTTGGGCTAGTTGATATCGAGGGTAAAGTCAACTCAGACCGTCTAACTCCTCCTAAAAGCGCGTCTGGGACTGTTAGAACCGGGCGAGCTAGCATCTTTGGCTGGAAAAAGAACCAGCGGCCTCCAGTAGACCAAGCGGGTCTGCTCCACGGTGATACTGGTACAGCACCTGGAGCAGCGTCAGGAATGACCGACAAAGAAGCTGGCATTATTGCACCCGCACCTGCTATCCAAGTTACAAATAATGATGAAAAAGCGTCTAGTCCAGTACAGCATCGCGGTCGGTCTCGTCAGGGTTCTCTTCTACGAAAAGAAAATAAACTCACCCAGAAGATCCATCGCTTGGAAGGAAGCCTGACCAACACAGCCCCTGAAAAGAAGCTGGCTTCAAATGAACAGAGTGACTCTGCAAGGCAAGCCCTGCCCCCTGTATACCATAATATGAAACACACGGAAGAACCAGCTCCTGCTGGTCATCCACACCAGCCACCAATACAGGACGTTAGGATGCCTACAGCTCGCCAATCCGGCCCCCTGAATAAAGCATTAACTAGGTTCCCAAGAATCCAGGAGCAAAAGCATTCCCTCAGCTTGCTTGTTAAGATATGGCTGTTCATCTCCGACCTTTACCGCAAGGCCTTACTACTTGAAGACGCTATGGAAGCTTGCAACGAGGCATCAACGCATGCTACTCGTATTGAAGGACTTGTTGCAGCTCAGGAGTCATCTACTCGGGCTTTTGCTGATGAAGGGTGGGGTGGCACAAAGTCCCCAGACGAAATATGGGGCGATATCTACGCCGAACGCGGTTACATCACCCAGGCGCAATCGAAACCATATGAAGCCATCAAACATTTCGAGGAAGCACTTATGCATTATCCAGACCACCCACGTGCAACGGTTGGTCTGGCTACTCTCCTACTTGATATCCACGACCAGACATTGCCCGCAGAAGAGTCATCGTCGCCCCCATTACCCGATATTTCAAACATATCCCTTCATTCACCATCCCGCCAACAGGAAACAAATGCTCCAAACGGAATTAGTGCAAACGTCGAGCCTACAACTACATCACCTGACGACACGCCTGAGTCTCTTAATCGCCTTGCTGCGAGAGATAGGGCTTATGGGCTACTTTCTACACTTACTAAACTCGGCACTGCTTGGGACAACTCAGAAGCATGGTTTGCCTTGTCTAGAGCGTACGAGCAAGGAGGCCAGATTGAAAAGGCAAAGGAGGTGTTATGGTGGTGTATTGACCTTGAGAACGGCCGGCCGGTTCGGCATTGGTGGAACGTTGGTTCCGGTGGCTATGTTCTTTAAAATTATTTTCGTTTTCTACGCATGAGCCCTATGTCGCTGCGTTTTGGTTACAAAAAATATAAATTATAATCTATGCTCCCTGCCAATGAAGAAAACCTTGCACACTCCCTATCTGGATGAAGCGTAAAGATGGTTTGGAACAAGGCCAGGTTATCCGATAGTTCGTCTTATATACATATTTGCGCAAACAAGGCCCTAGCAGCAAGTCTAACTGGCATTTTTATCGAAAACAGATAGGGATCCTACTGCCAAGGCAGTCCGACGTGCTCTCTCCATTACCGGGGAGCAGCAACGGGTTCCCAGGCGGAGTATTTCGGTTTTACACTGTATATTCGGAAAATGTTAGTCTTGATGTTCTATAAGGAATAAAGGGCGTTAGGGGGGACTAACGTCGAGTATGGCTTGTATGCGGCCCGAGTAAGGGTCATGTTGGGTCTGTGTTCGGGGGTTTCCCATTTCCGTACCCCAGCTTGCATGATTGCATCCTGAGTGGGTGGCTTATCAACCATATAGGAGATCCAAGCGTGCCTATGTAATAAAGTCAGAGGCTTCCACGCGAATACATAGGGTTAGCGAGCTTACCAGCCGGGGTCAATATGCGAAGCATCATGGTCATGGTCTTTATAATCAACCCATCGAGTTCGGACTTCATTGCATGTCAACATCACTATTTCCCTTTTTACTCAAGAATTATATATGACGTACGAGGCAACTCTTCGTTGTTCTCAAAATATTTGTTTCCGTATCGGTCGATGGCTACGAGGGTACCGGCTTTGGTATCACCTGCATTCGACTCCGTTAGCAATTGGCCTCAAAACTTCCTAGGTCCATGAACGTACCAATATACTATAGCATGGAGCAGATGTAACTTAGCATCTGCATCTCCGCAGCATAGATTCGTTTGTAATTGCCGTCGCCGGTGGTTAACTTACGTGCATCTGGTGACCATAGTCCTGCAGAAATCGATTAGTCACGAACAGAGTAATGCTTTCAGGTAAAGCCTACCTTGATCCCGATCTTCCACAAGTTCCGCAATGTCCTGGTGATGGTCGACATGGTGACAGCGGACAGTGTCGTTGCCCTACAGTTGATCTTCTGTCGTTGGAGGTCGAAGTTGTTCACGGCTTTCCGCTTGGTTTGTTCGGACTGCCGCGAAGGATCCGAAAGCGGTTTAGCGCCGATTCAGCTGATCCGATAAGATAAAAAAATATGTTGAAGCTTCCAACAACATGGCAACTAGAGATCTGGCTGGTGGTATTCGTCACTTGGACCTTTACCATATTGCTCCTGAGATGCAATTTAGATTCGAGAGACGATGATGAAACGTACGGGAGGCCGCGCCCTCCTCAATTGCTGCCGGGGCTACTCCACACGCACCGCCAACTATATCTCCCCCGTCCGCAAGTTCTCATCTACTTCGAGTCCGGCTGCGGGCTATACCAGTGCCTCTTCACCTATTGGCAGTCTCACAGTGGAATTAGACCGGATTGCGCCCAAATTCGAAATACAAGCGTCCAATATTCAGATTTTGAACTCTCCTGCTGCCTTCTATGACACTTTGAAGGTACGGGTCAGTTTACATACTCTCAAGGATGACTGGCTAACGACTATCAGGATAAAATACGCAACGCGAAACGAAGGGTATATCTCTCAACTTTGTATATTGGGAAGACAGAACATGAGCTTCTTTCGGTCATTAATGAGAGCCTTCGCCGGAATCCAGACTTAAAGGTCTCCATTCTTACGGATGCACTGCGTGGATCTCGTGAATCCCCAAACCCGTCTTGTGCATCTCTACTAGCCTCCTTGGTGGAGGAACATGGACCAGAAAGGGTAGAAATAAGAATGTTCCATACCCCTAATCTCGTTGGAATGAAAAAGAAATATGTACCAAAGAGAATAAACGAAGGATGGGGGCTTCAACACATGAAACTTTACGGAGTAGACGACGAAATAATTCTCTCTGGGTATAGCTCTTTACATTTATCTTTATACGGTGCATTTTACTGATCAATTTTTCTTTGACAGGGCTAACCTTTCCAATGACTATTTTACAAACCGGCTCGATCGATATCACGTTTTCCAGTCAAAAGAACTGGCCGAATACTATTCCCAGATCCACCATGCTGTTTGCAGGTTCAGTTTTCAGGTTTTGCCAGATACAAAGAGCAAACAGGGCTATGTTATGAATTGGCCAGTTACGAATGCGGGGCCATCGCCTTTAGACGATCCCGAAGATTTCATATCCGCGGCGTCTATATCGCTTTCGAAACTAATACAGCCACCAGCAACCCAGAGAGTTTCAACATCCATGGCTGACAACCAGACATATGTATACCCTGTGGCTCAGTTTACCCCAATACTAAAACCAGATCAATCAACAGAGTTTCCGGCTGTTACAAGCATCCTAAGTACCTTAGCTAACAGCCCGATGTTGAAGAATTCTCGCTGGCATTTCACTGCGGGCTACTTCAACATGCACCCAGTTCTCTCTTCTCTTCTGATTTCAAGCACTACTCCATCGCCTGATTCTTCAAGCAGCCAGGGAACAGTTCTCACGGCATCTCCGTGGGCGAATGGATTTTATGGTTCCCCAGGCGTCTCTGGAATGTTACCAGCAGCATATACCCACTTGTCTGCTAGGTTCCTAGATCGGGTTGCGGAATCACAAAGAACTAATTCTATTGAATTGAAGGAATGGCGTAAGGGGACTGTGAATGAGCCTGGTGGATGGACATATCATGCCAAGGGGTTATGGGTGACACTCCCGAATGAGAAGTATCCAAGTCTCACGTTTGTTGGAAGCAGCAATTATACCAAACGAAGCTACGGGCTTGATTTAGAGGTGGGCGCTGTCGTAGTGACTACAGACAATAGCTTGAAAGAGAGATTGGGCCAGGAAACGGAGTGGCTGCAAGCGGATTCTAAACCCATCTCAAGGGAAGATCTAAGGAGAGTTGAGCGACGAGTCAGTTGGAATGTTCGTCTTGCTATGTGGATCGTAGAGCGGGTTGGCGGAGCTTTGTGAGCAATATACCCTCAATATGTACAACATGTAATATAATAGAAGCATATACCGATAAACTGCCATATTGGGTGTCAGGATTCATCGTTATTTAAGTGTAGATAATAGCACGCATATATCACACATATTGTCCTCTATTCCCCTTGAGTTACAATAGGCCAGGTACTTTTTGATTCTAAACCAACGCTGAACTCCAGTATGAAAAAACCCATAATCGTAAATAGCTTCAAATGGGTATCTGCATCAGACTTTCCCAAAGGCATTTGTGGAAAGCTTGGGAGGCCCAAGACCTTGCCTGACTTCATCCAGCATCCTCATTCCAATAACTTCGTTCCCATTCTTTCCTCTACGGCCCTGGGCTCCCTTGCGCTTAGCATGGACACGTCGATCATCCCATTTATCTAAGAAGCCATCCATGACGTCGTTAAAATCAGACCGAAGAGGGGTATTTCTATCATTGGCAACAAGGCTCGGGGCTTGCGAGAGTTTGGAGAATCTAGAAAAGCGGGACACGCCGCTGGCAACAGACATATCATCCGCTATACTAGAGCCTTCATATTCCTCTCCTTCATCCAAAGCATATAGGGCTTCCATTCTCTCGAAACGGTCATCCAAAAGTCTGTGGCCTTCGGTCCTAGCAAGCGAAGAGGATGTCATTGAGTAGGCGGAAGGGTTTGTCTTTGCACCCTTGCGCTTCTTTTTCCTGACCGGGGTCCCCCCGAGAGTAAATAGTGTTGATGCCGTAGTGCGGAGTTCTGATGCGCTATCGTCAACTTTAGCCGCGGCTTTATTTGCTTTCATGTCTTTCTTATATTTTGCAAAATCTTTGAGCCAGTCCCCTTCATGTTCCTCCATATCAGGTATCTGGTCATCATTTGGCGGCTGAGATGATTTATTGGAGCTTCCCTTGGCATCTGATGCGGTGGGTAGTTGGCTATCGGTAGAGGTATCATGTTGAACTGGTGCCTTTTCCGTTGCATCCGACTCCCAGCCCTCGTCATCGTCTTCAATGTATGTATCTCTCCACTCATCAGGGTCCACCTCTGCGTCATGTCCACCGGCAACGAGGTTGTCAAATATATCCTCGTCGCACTCTTCATCAACGTAGGCATCATCCTCCAGTGCCTCTAGGGCCTCTCTTAATCGTGGATCCATATCTGGCTGGAAACCCGCAATCGCATCCGGCACATCCTGTTGGTCCTGGTAAGTGGCCTTGCGTATATATGACGAAGCGGTTGACAAGATATCATCATTCGCATCGCCATAGGTAAAGCTCTCCGCTCCGTCACCATCTAGCGAGATTTCTTTCAGCGCATCCTCGAGTTTCATGCCCTTCTTTCCTTTACCCTTTGTCCTCGCCTCCACGAAGTGGGCGTCTCCAACTCCCTCCCCTAGTCCACGCAAATGTTGCATGTAATCATACTTGGTATCATCATAGAAGATACCATAGTTTGCCGCCTCTCCTTCATTTTTGCGAGTTGCCGATTTGAATTCCTCGTCAAGCTCCCGTAAAGTCCGTGTTTCTCTCTTTGATGAAGACGACTTGACGCTAGAAGCTGGCCCAGGTCGCCCTACTACATGCAAAATCCGATCTTCTGCCTCTGGGTCATGTATCAGTGGGTCATTTTGCGATCTGTGGAGGAGTTGATATTTGGTTGCGGATTTTTTATCACTAAGGGAATATAGCGGTTAGCACTCGGAGCTTCCCCAAAGAAATGTCACATCAATTTATCCAAAATTACATACATCCACTGTTTAGTTGGCGGCATTGTAACGTTTTATTATGGGGGAAATGGTCCTCTCTGTGAATGGTTACAAGGGAGGTCGGTCTTGATGTTTGTCATTTTTGAGAAATGGCGGGCCACAGACAAAATATTTTTAAAGATAAGGTCACGTGAGATAAGCGATAAGCAATAAGCTTTCTTCCCTATGAAAAGGGGCCGACTTTAGTCTCAACACACTGCACTTAAATACC